CAACCATTTTGCCTTCCTGGTTTTCTTTTTCTTTGGGACGTACTTTGTTGCCGCCTCCTGAACAATGTCTCGGACTTCTGTCCATAGTTCTTCTGGGACTCTGTTTACTAAATCTAGTCCTTCAAATCTGTTCTTCACTTCCACTGTATATTCGCTAGGAATGTTAGTGAGATCATATCTAACTGGTCTGTGTATTTTCCCTGATCTCTTTAGTTTTATTCTAAATTTATTCTGATGCTATAGAATAATAATAATAATAATAATAATAATAATAATAATAATCACTTTATTTATATCCCACCCCATCTCCCTGAAGGGATTCGTGGTGGCTTACACATGGAACCCCATGCCCTCATCAAACGACATAGGGTGACTTCTGGTGGGGCTTCATGGTCAAACTGGGGCAGCACTGTGGTGGGACACTACTGCCACCAACACACAAACTGCCCCATGTTCCATAAGGAACAACGGGGCTTGGGTGGAGTGGCAACACTTCCCTATGTGGGACGGAGAAGTGTCAGTTGGTGGTTCAAGTGCCGGGATTGTGCTGTTGCCGCCCCGCTGCCATCATTATTTTCCAAGGAGGCTGGCAAATCATGGTGCTGGACCTTATCCACTTGATGAGGTCCTTACACAAAGTTGTTAGAACAACATGCAGTGTTTAAATCAGACTTCAGAAAATGTCATAGCGGCACTCCACAAAAAAGAAAAGTCAGCCTGTTTAGCAAACCTTGCGAATTCTGATTTGTTTTCAGTAAATATTCAGTAAACTATATACCTGAAGTCACCTAAACATTTTTTCAGGCAGATAGGGGTTGGAAGTGGTAAAGTTGGAATGGGCAAAATATGGACAAAAAGCCCTGCATTTTGAAGGTGCTTTGTCTGAACACTTATAGAATCAAACTGAAGGGAAATGTTTTGGGGGCATGGATAAGGGAAACCGTGGATACTGAATTTGTGGATAAGAGGGGGCATACTTGTTCATTTTTTAAACATTTTAATGCTTTAATTCTTGCTTGGAAACATCCCTGGATATATGATATATGATGGAAGGCTGTACAAAAATATTTGTTAAAGATAAATACATGTAAAAACGCAGTTGTTAATCATATTACTTATTGTCTGAGGTTCACTCTGTGATATATGAGAGATGCCATGTAAGATGACTTGCTCAAGACCCAGTAAACTGTCAGAGCCCTTTTCAAAAGAACCCTCCTCCAAGAGAGAACCAAGGAAGCCCCACCAGCTGTGACTCCTGGTGTATCTACACTGTAGAATGCATGCAGGTCGGCACCATTTTAACTGCCGTGGCTCAATGCTATGGGATCCTGGGATATGTAGTTTTGATGAGGTACCAGCAGTCTTTATTTATTTATTCATTTATTTATTTACTATATTTATAGCCCGCCTTTCTCAGCCATACGGCGACTCAAGGTGGTTTACAGGTTGGCACAAATTCAATGCCATACATTCATAAAAAAGCAATTTAAAACTATCAGCATAACCATATAAAACATATATAAATGACAATAAAACATGTAGTCTCCAGTGTCATCCTGTTAGAATCGATTTCCAGTAACATCCTCTAGCCATTCTAAGTTCATCACTCATGGTTTCATGTTATCTATTCCCCTGTATTCTCAAAAGCTTGCTCAAAGAGCCAAGTTTTCAATTTTGGCAAGACTTTGGTTGCATATGTTTACGTTGATTTTTCTCATTCGCATATTTCTGCTCCCTTTACAAACGAAATTTCCTTTGAATCGATATGGGTGTTGTCTTGCCTGTAGCTTCAATTTTTCTCAGTAGGGTTCAAGTCAAGAATGGAAAAATGGCTAATATAAAAATGGCACATCAGTGAGGGAAGATGGGAGCTGCAATCCAATAACATCTGGAGGGTCACATGTTTCCTACTCCTGATTTAATTTTTGTCACTTGTTAGAACACAGTATTGATTCAGACCTACCACCAACTTGAAAGCACATTGCTAATGACAACATAGCTTGCAGAATCTAAGGCAAAGGGGGATGACACGAAGACAGATGTTTAAATGACAACGAATGACATATATTTATATGAATTCCCCTTGATTAAAGGCTTTTAACCCTATCCTAAGAGACCTCACACTGATAAAGGTTTGTAGTGGAAGCCTATCAGATCTATAGCATGTAGTGGAAGCCTGTTATTTCCATCAAAGCAGTGTGTCATTGAAAGCTGGCGTTACATAAGTCAAAAGTATGACATATACAGAAAGACTGTTTTTTAGCCACAAGAGGGAGTGAGTGACTCAGGGATCTGATTTTTGGAGTGGTGGTAAGTAAAACCATGGATATAGTTGTCTAAGGCTTTCATGGCCAGAATCACTGGGTTGCTGTGAGTTATTCAGGCTGTATGGCCATGTTCCAGAAGCATTCTTTCCTGACGTTTCACTCACATCTATGGCAGAGGTTGTGAGATCAGAAGTTGTGAGGACCTCACAATTTCTGAGGATGCCTACCATAGATGTGGGTGAAAGGTCAGGAAATAATGCTTCTGGAACATGGCCATACAGTCCTAAAAACTCACAGCAACCCATGGATATAAAATCTGTGGACAAGGGAGCTGCACTGTATTGTGAAAATATACTTAATGAAACGTGTTGTTGATAGAAGAGGCAGTGATTTCTAAGTAAGTAGGAGCTGAACTAATATGTGAGTACAATTCTGCAAGACAGGGCCTACCCTTAGACAGAATGAGATTGCTATCTCAGGGGAACATTGATACTCAAGTGAGGTCAATCATGGATAGGGCATGCCCCTCCACTGGAGGTATGAATGCCCTATCAGTTGTCCTGCACCTCCTTCATTATTCTCCTTCACACACAACTAGTAGGAAATACTGTCCCTATCAGCAGTGTGATGAAGGAAGATTCAAAAGTCACTCCACTTGGTGACAGAGGCATATGTCTCTGTGCACTGTGTTCATGTGGTTGCCTCTCTCCCTGACCTGACACTCAAGTTTACTTGGAAGTGCCATATGTAGAAGACATAAATTGTTACAGACTTGCAAGCCAAGACATTTTGTTACTTGACACCATGAAAGGAAGGGATTTCTGAGTAAGCAGGAATTGGATAGGTATGTGAGCAAACACCTTACAAATATAGGGTATAGTTTTGCAAGGCCAGTCCTGACATTAGGCAGATTGGGGCAACGGTCCCAGGGGAACATTGATGCTCAGAGGTAGTCAACCATGGAAGTTTCTCCTGGCCATGCCCCTCCCCTATCAGCACAATCAACATCATTGTATTGTGTAACAACCAAATTATTCTGATAGAGTTTCACCAAGCTTCCCTTACCCACTAATTTTAAAGATAATAGGGAATGTACTAAATGAAAACTCATCACTATGTTGAATTTGAAAAAAATGGTTCCTGGTTTGAAAGTGTTATTTCCTGTTTAATTGTGCTATAACCTTGAAAGTAGTTGTTACACTCCAGAAACGATGTTGAATTGGTTGAGACTCTATGAGATATTTTTAAAAAACCCCTGTGCTCTGACTTATAAGAAGCACTGCTTGAATATCAAGCAAAAAGTGAGTGACAGAAATAATATTAAACGAAAGCCTACTGGCGCAACCTGGGGATCACAACCAGACACAGTGAAGACACCTGCCCTTGCACTTTGCTACTCTACTGAGGAGTACGCATACCCAGTGTCGTGTGGAATATAGGGAATGTGGCTGTTAATGAGACATTCTTCATTATTACGAGATGTCTACACCCCACACCATTGGAGAAATTACACTGTTTAGCCAGTATTGCACCACCTGACATCAGTTGGGAAGTAGTAGCCAGTAATGAAAGGACCAAGGCATTGACAACTCTGGCCCATCCTCTGTTCGGATATCAGCCAGCACACCAATGCCTTAAATCAAGAAACAGCTTCTTAAGATCTATAGAGATACTCACAGGAACGCCTCAGCAAGCGAGAGTCCAAAAGTGGCAGTCTATAACCCAGAACCTCAAGCCATAGCTGATACTGAATGAGAGACTCTCCCCTGGGTACACAGAAGACTGGGCAACTTGGAAGGTGATGAACAGACTGTGCTCTGGCACAACAAGATGCAGAGGCAACCTTAAGAAAAAGGGGTCTCAAAGTGGAATCCACGACACGTGAGTGTGGAGAAGAGCACAGACCACCTATTACAATGCAGTCTGAGCTCTACCACATACACAGTGGAGGACCTTCTCACAGTGACACCAGAGGCACTTGAAGTGGCCAACTTCTGGTCAAAGGGAATTTAATATAATGCCAAGTTTTGTAGTTTTTTATACATTATAATTGTATTCTCAATTTGCTTTTGACACGATAAATAAATATGGAAAAACTAGAGGAAAATGAGGTGTAGGCTGTCCCGCAAAAACAAAGATTTTGGAGTTTAATAAACTTTTCCCATGTTTTTAAGATAGAACCAATTAGGAAATGACATTTATAACCCAGGTAGAAAAATGATGTTACATAGTGTTATCACTCAGGGCTGCAGGCATGTAGCCGGGGGGGGGGGGGGGGGGCCACGGGGGGCTTCAGCCCCCCCCCCCAAAATTTTCATGGTGGTTCGCGAAAAGCCCTTATTGGTGCATTATTTAAACTGTTATGTTTATTCATATCATGATCTGATCACCATACTCAATATATCCCATATGCATGGGGGTATTGGGGTAATGATACAAAAGGTTTGCTAGGCTAGACCCTCTTTCACTCAGACTCCTCCCCCCCAAAACTCAGCCCCCCCCCGAACACCCCCCTGAAAAAAATTCAGCCCCCCCCCCCCCGAAATCGAAATCCTGGCTACGGGCTGCTGAAGACCAAGGTTCAAATATCTAAGACTACAGATGAGCAAGAGGCAGGGAAATAAACCATTGTAGAGCACTGGATAGGTATGTGAGCAAACACATTACAAATATAGGGTATAGTTTTGCAAGGCCAGTCCTAACATTAGGAGGAGGAGGAGGAGAACCCCCACTTTCTCTTTGGCACATCCATTTAGTGATTTAACAACAATAAATATTCCAATTTCTTTTCAGCAAGCTGCAGAGGTGATGCTGAAATTATGTTCTTCAATATTCAATGTGTGAATTCCTGTATCAATAGCAATGAATCAAACAATATTTTAAATGTGATGTTCAGAGTTATTTCTTATGAAATATTAAAGGAAAGGATACAGAATGGCAACATTAAAATATAAGGACACCAGTTTAAGCTAGTTCATGCTATAAGTAAATGTAAGGCTTTCATTGAAGAAAGGTCTGTGGCTTGTCCTCCTGGCTCTGAAGATCTTGAAAGATTTTTGCAAAAGGAAGGAGAAGTGAGAAACTTTCCTTCTGTAAAGTTTCCGAAGTTCATTTGCTTGAGGATCCAAGCCATCTCTCAGGGCTTCCTGTTTTCAGCCTTGCTGGTGTAATTCAATGAGGCGACCTGCAAAAACACCCAGCGTTCCAATGATGCAAACTAACATAAAGATGCCAAGGAGAAGGTGGTCAACCACCATGGCAACAAACTTCCATTCTTCTGCAGCCTGGAGATATAAAAAGATAGAAAGGGGTGAGGAGAGGAAGAAATTAGAATGATCTCAAATCTTATCGATCTCCTTTTCAGAGGAATAGTTACTTTTCTACCTGGACTTTTTACAACATAACATGTTCAAATGGAGAGGATTCCAGTCTAAAAGGTGCCTTTGAATCTTTTGTGAAAAGCTCCTTTTCAGTGCTATCATTCTGTATTCAGTGATAGCTGCCATAGATGTCTTTAAAATAGTTATTGTATTTTAAAGATTTTTCTCATCATTTTGTAAGCTGCACTGAATCCGAGTCTTGAGGCATTATTTAAAACTTAGACCAGTGAACAAAATATATGTTTTAGCTGCAGGGAGAGGTGGGTAATAGTAATAGTAGTAGTAGTAATAATAATAATGGGTTGCTGTGTTTTCCGGGCTGTATGCCCATGTTCCAGAAGCATTCTCTCCTGATGTTTCACCCATATCTATGGCAGGCATCCCCACAGGTTGTGAGGTATGTTAGGCAAGTGAGGTTTATATATCTGTGGAATGTCCAGGTGGGAGAAAGATCTCTTGTCTGTTGGAGGTAAGTTTGAATATTGCAATTGAATGATTAGCATTGAATGGCCTTGCAGCTTCAAAGCTTGGCTGGTTGCTGCCTGCGGATGTTTTGTTGGGAAGTGTTAGCTGGCTCTGATTGATTCTTCTCTGGAATTCTCCTGTTTTTTGTGTTTTCCTCTTTATTTACTATCTGGATTTAAAGTTTTTTTTAAAAAAATCCTGGTAGTCAGATTTTGTTCATTTTCATGGTTTCCTCCTTTCTGTTAAAATTGTCCACATGCTTATGGATTTCAACTGCTTCTCTGTGTAGTGGAGTGGTCCAGCATTTCTGTATTCTCAAATAAAATGCTGTGTCCAGTTTGGTTCATAATAATAATAATAATAATAATAATAATAATAATAATAGCAATAATATTATAATAACAGTAATATATTAATAATATAATCATATAGGCCTGAGATCCTCCACTCTGCTCCTGATATTCCCTGAATAATAATCCCTGATCCTGACCAAACCCTGCATAAAATGTCCTCGGAAGCACTTTATTCTACCTTCTAGTGCAATTAAACCTCATTTTCGTCCCTCTGATCCTTGTTTAGATACACTACATGGCCTGTTTACCCAGTGTTTTTAAATTGTGGCATCAGCAGCTCTTCTGCAGAGAAAGCTAAAGAGCTTGTAAATTAACAACTCCCACAATTTCATAGTATTGAGACGTGGCAGTTAAAGTGGTGTCATACTGCATTAAGTCTGGTGTGTATAGCCACCTATTAAACGAAGGAGAACTGTCAGGTCTCAAGTTGTGTTGATGAGCAATTTTGGCCACAAGAGGAAGGCAAACACTGCCCAGCACGGTATGATTGGTCTTACCAAGAGTGGGAAGTAGGCAAGGCTAGGAATAAGAAAAAGAAATATCTTAAAACTCAAAATAATTTTATGGCATCATTTTTAAAACCAAGAGACTATTGGTTTTGTTGCTACAGAAACATGCAACTGACTTTCTGGAGACGATCATATTGAGGAGGGAGTTTTCTGTTTCACTGGAGACAAAGACAGAGCAATGGATTCAAATTACAGGGGGAAAAATATTCCAACTAAATATTAGGAAGAACTCCCTTATAGTTAGGGCTATTTGACAGTGTAACACTGATTTAGAGTTAATGGAGTCCTATTCTTTGGTGGTTTTTAAACAGGCTGGATAGCCATCTGTTGGGAATGCTTTAGTCATGCATTCCTGCATGACAGTGGGTTGGACTGAATGGCCCCTGGAGTCTTTTCCAACTCTATCGTTCTATTCAAGTGAGTTTGATGGCTCCAACATTTTTGCTGTAACTGATTAAAGAGTTATAACGTGTGTCAGAGAAACTCGCAGAGAGGTAAATATTCTTGACCTATAGATCTACATATGGGCCCCATCAGCATCTTTATGCAATGCTTGGTGACTGTAAGCTTTAGACTAGATGCCCCACCACCATCTCCCAAAGCAGTTGCTCTACTCCAAACTCAAGAACGGAAAAAGGAATGTTGGAGGACAGGAAAAGAGATTTAAAGATGGGCTCAAAGCCAACCTTAAAAACTCTGGCATAGACACTGAGAACTGGGAAGCTCTGGCCCTTGAGCGCTCCAGCTGGAGGTCAGCTGTGTCCAGCAGTGCTGTAGAATTTGAAGAGGCATGAATGGAGGTTAAAAGAGAGAAACGAGCTAAGAGGAAGGTGCGTCAAGCCAACCCCAACTGAGACCGCCCTCCACCTGAAACCAATGCCCTCACTGTGGGAGAACATACAGGTCAAGAATAGGGCTCCACAGTCACCTACAGACCCACCAGTACACTGATCTTGGAGGACTATCCTACTCGGACAATGAGGGATCACCTGAGTAAGTAAGTAAGTAAGTAAGTAAGCAAGCTTTAGACACCTAACACAGGCTTTCAAATTATGGATTGGCAATTCTGGTTGAGAATGTTGTTGAGCTGCACCTCTCATGATCTCTCACAATTGGCAATGCTGGCTGGGGCAAATGGGAGTTTTAGTCCAAAAATAGCTTTCAGAAGAATATGCTTCTCAACCCTTAATTCATGTCCACTGTAGTTCTGCACTAGGCCACAACTTAGTCATTTCATTGGGGCTGTTTCGGAGACTTGCATTATCTGTTTTGCTATTGCCCATGGTTTTTCAATGAACTGTGAGGAGATGGTGCTTTTCTTAAGTAATGGAACTAAGCTATTCATTATATTAAAACAATTATATCAATCAAATAGAAAGTAATAAATGCTTCATGTACTTTAGAGTTAGGATTCCATATTCAATTCTGACAGTTTTCCTGGAAAACCTTTGGATGCACTGACAACTTGCCCAGGGTCCCCCTAAAACAAGAGCTATGGAGGAGAGGGAAAATCACCCCATCTCTCTTCAAAACTTCTGGCACATCATTTTGAAAAAACAGAAGATTTTTACAAGTGGCCTGCCCCTGTTTGCAGACCTCTACAGTGGGTTTTAGCCTGGAGCCCGAGGAGGCAGGGTGGCTTTGAGGACTGACCCTCGGGATAATGGATGCTGTTCCCGAGAGTCAGTCTCCACCCCCACAGCTGACAAGGTGCAGACCTTCCTGGAAGGTCCACATCTTCCCAGGTATTTTTTAAACCCAGAGTAAACCTGGATTTCCAAGTTTACACTAGGTTAAACCAGATTAATTATTTTTAACCTGGCATAAACCTGGATTTCCTCAGCCTAATCCAGTAAAAACAACAACATCCAATTTTAGGGCCCAGAGTCTTACATTAGTTATGACTCTTTGCAGAACAACAGAACAACAGAACAGAAAGATTAGTTAGAAACAGATGGGCATATTGATACTGTTCTTAAAGGAAAGGATTATTTAAAAACCAGAAATGATTAATATCAGGTAAGCACTCTTACATTGTTGGACTCTTGATCTGACTTCATTGTTTCAGCGATGTATTTGATGCCCTCGATAGCACTTTTAACATCTGGGTTTTTGATGAGCGATGACTGGAAATTCACTGCAGTCGGACCTTGTTTTCCAGAGATTTCAGAAATATCGATGTCTTCAGTAAAAATCTTTTTCTCCTGCTTGTTTTTGGAGGGCCGCTTCATTGTTGAGAAAAACATGAGGTTTGGAATTGTGTCAATAAAAATCTGAAAAAAAAAACAAACAAAACATCAATATGCATTTTACAGTTGCTGGCTTTATCAGAAAGAAAACACTGGATCTCAATCTTATTTTCAGAACAAACTAATGATCTCAAAAGTTTGTGAATGATAGGATGCATCTATATGACAGAAGTAATATATTTGGATACCATTTAAACTTTTTTAGTCGTGTCAGAAGCGACTTGAGAAACTGCAAGTCACTTCTGGTGTGAGAGAATTGGCTGTCTGCATAAACATTGCTCAGGGGATGTACAGATATGTTACCATTCTGTGGGAGGCTTCTCTCATGTCCCCGAATGGGAAGCTGGAGCTGACAGATGGGAGCACACCCTGTTTTGCGGATTTGAACCACCAACCTTCGGGTCAGCAGTTCAGCAGGCACAAGGGTTTAACCCATTGCTCCACTGCAGCTCTATTTTAACTGCTGTGCCTCAATGCTATGAAATCCTAGGAGTTGTAATTTTACAAAGTCTTCAGCCTTTTCTGCCAGATTGCTACTACCTCACCAAACTGGCATTTTGTATAAGGGATACTCAACCTGTATGCTAGTTGCGAACAGTGAGTACATGGGCTAAGGATATGTCTCAGTATAAGGCAGCTTCTTATGTTGCCATCTAGTCTGTTGAAGTCCACAAGGTCAGAAGAAAAGCATGATACTAACTTCCCATTCATGTGTAGTGCCACAGATGATTTAATATGTGATACTAGGTGCAGGTATTCTTGTCCAGATTTCTTAGGACATCCCATAAAGGATTCTGGTCCCACCAGACCCAAAATAAATCAACAGGGCCTATACCCCGCCCCCCCAACACTAACATGGACACTAACACTAACATGGTGGGCAAAAGGGAGAAATGTGCCAAGAGGAAGGCACATCAAGCCAACCCTGACTGGAACTGCCTTCCACCTGGAAACCGATGTCCTCACTGTGGGAGAACATGCGGATAAGCCTCCACAGCCACCTATATACCCACTGCCAAGACACTACACTTGGAGAACTATCATCCCCGAGCTATGAGGGATTGCCTAAGCAAGTAAGTAAGTCAGCACTAGCAACACTGAGTATAGCTCAGTGTTTCTGGCCACAGGTATTCTCTCACCTTCCTCACCCACTGCGGCATAGTATGGGTACTTGGAGAGCGGTGGTGGGTGTTGATCACAATCACGGTGATGATGATGGAGGCGATTACAAACACCATGGTAAACAACATGTATTTGCCGATCAGTGGTACTGCGCTGGAGGTGGAGGGGATCAGCTCCACAATGACCAGGAGGAACACAGTCAAAGAAAGCAGGACAGAGATGCTCAGGGTCATCTTCTCACCTGAGGAAATGTGTGCAAAGTATGACATTCAGTGTGGACACTAAAGAATGGAAAGGTGTTTCAGAGGAAGGCATAACGAATGAAACCTTCCCACTAATGAGGACTCATTTTTTTCCCAAAAATAAATCTATTTTGCACTGATAATTCTCAGAATTGTTGCACTCATGTGTGGTGGGACAGGAGCAATGCTGTATATTCTCAGTATATTTTGACCTCATTTATAGGCCAAGGGTCTTCTGCCAACCTAGCAGTTAGAAAACATGCAAATGTCAGTAGATCAATAGGTACTGCTCCGACAGGAAGATAATGACATTCCATGCAGTCATGCTGGCCACATGACCTTGGAGGTGTCTACAGACAACGCCAGCTCTTTAGCTTAGAAATGGAAATGAGCAACCCTCCCCAGAGGTGGACACGATTGGACTTAATGTCAGGGGAAAGCCTTTACTTTTACCATATAGGTCAAGGGTGTGTTTTGGGCCAAAATTATGGATTTTGATATGACCCGTGAATGCTGATGGTAATTCTGTGGAGAAGGAGCAAACACTAGCATTTCCTTATGAGGCCACCATTACTACCATTTTTCTCACCCAGGCATTCAAAAATTGATAGAGATAGTAGATTAGGTCAACTTCTCTTTTTGTATTTGTTTTGTTTTTTAAAGAGATAACTTGTAAGCCTGATATTAAAACAGAAGAATAACCCAAGACAACCAGGAGAGTGCAAATGAATGTTATGAGTTGCAGTATAAAATGGACCTACCTGAATCTGTAGGCAGATAAAACACTAATCCTGTTAAGAATGAGAAGAGGAGGCAAGGAATGATGACATTGACAATGAAGTAGAGAGGCAAACGCAACATCACAAAATGGTAGGTGATATCCAGGTATGGAAGGTCAGGGCAGCAGGCATAGGTAACCTCATGTTTCCAGCCTCGATAGTCTTTCATGATCCACTCTCCACTCCCCATGTAGCTACTCAGGTCTGGGCGATCACTTTCCTGAAGAGAGAGTAATGTGCATCTCAGAAGAACATAGTAAGCCAAGGGAGAGGTGCTAATCTGAATCAGTTAGATGTTTTGTGATCTTGTCTACCATTATTGGGCTGATATTATGAACTTTTACTATGGCTTATTTTTAACAGTGTTCTCCCCCTGTACTATAAAGAGGCTTGGATCCAGATGCAATAAAAAGAACTATGTGTTTACTTCCATGCGTTAAATAGGGCTTTGTGCTTCTACAATGGCATTACCATGCAGGCACGACCAACATGGGGTAACAGGGAGGACGAGGATGATGACAACTTCTGACACCATGAGAAATTACAAAAGATGTTTGTGATATGCCCTGCTAATCAGGAGGACCCAAGGGTTTTATCACACAGGGTTGCTAATTAATTAACTAACTAACTAATTAACCCTCATTTCTACCCCACCTTTCCCATCCCGAAGGGGACTCAGAGCAGCATTACACATATGCAACAATTAAATGCCACAGAAACAACATACAATTAAAACAAACATTTACATTAAAACATCTAAACATTACACTAATTATTAAAACCATGCAGTCCAAGGTCGTAATCTGGAGCAATTCGAGTTGTCATTGTACATATTTTGTATCCATTTATTGCCATACAATTATTATCCGAAGGCTTGGTCCCATAGCCATGTTTTTACTGTCTTTCTGAAGACCAGGATGGAGGGGGCTGGGCTAATATCAATGGGGAGGGAGTTCCACAGCTGAAGGGCCACCACTGAGAAGGCCCTGTCTCTCATCTCCACCAACCGCGCCTGCAAAAGAGGTGGGCCCAAGAGCAGAGCCTTTCTGGAAGATCTTAATCTCTGAGATGGTTCACAGAGAAAATATGTTCAGACAGGTAAGCTGGGACAAGTCCAATTATGCCAGGATAAAAAAAAATTATGGTTCCCCCATACTTGCATAGCACTTGAATTGTAATTGGATTGTCTCTCTGCATTAATGGGAAAAATTGTCAATGAATCCAACATCACTGTTGTTCTGCCATTCTTTGTGTAATAATTTCCTTTTGCTGCAGTCCCAATATTACAAAGTGGAGGAAGTATTGCAGAAACTCTGAAACTATGCAGTTGCAACAAAATATGGAAAAAATGAAAATAGAGGAAAAAAACACATAGTGCATATGTGTTGCATAGGGCAAACAGTGGTGGAAGTGGGTCTGTGCAGAAGACTGATCAACAAAGCGCCAACACTGCACAATTGCAATAAGCTCTGAAAGAGATGTTCCAATGATGGCATGCTTCCATTTTCTTAAACAATGCAATTGTGACAAGGCTGGTGTATGAGTGGGGTTTTCAGGGGCTGTGTAGTTTTTAATGTAGTTTAAATTGTATTTTGATGTTCTTATGCTCCATGACACAAAATATTTAATTGTTTTTAAAAAATATTTATATTCACTTTTTAATGCATTTGCTTTGTTTTTAATTGTATTGTGTTGTGTCTGGTGTTAACTGCCTTGTGTCCTTGTACCAGGAGAAAGACAGGATAAAAATAAACAAATTAACATATAAAGTCCCAAGAGAGTTCTGCTGAGGCAAATGACAAAATGCCCCTACTTCCCATTTTATGTCCAGGAGCTTGTTGGTCTGACAATTGAATGAGATCATCAATGCTGGCAGTGATACAGTATTTTAAGCTGAACTTGAGGGCAACAAAGTCAAGCTCTATGACACATACACATCTAGTAGTATGGCCAGTACTGTTTTGTCAGCATTTTCTGCCTAAGGCATTTGCATTGTTCTACTAATGATAGGGTTGATGTGTGCACTGCTTCTTTTTTAAAAGCCAGACCTCACACTGTGAATGTACATAAGGATGGCGTCCATAGAGACTCCCCACCTGGAACAGAAAATACTACGAATGTTGGTTGCTATATCATATTCCTGGCTGCCTAAGTGTAACCTACCGGGTTAATGATAACCACGGTGCCATCGTAGGTCCATGTGCCCAACTTCATGCTGCAGTTTTGCTCATCAAATGGAAAATGTGTGACTATGATTTCACAGTAACTTTTAAAGATGGCTGGAGGTGTCCATGTAATGTGGCCTGTATAGTTCAGAAGGATTTTGGTAAATTTATTAATCGCAAAATCACCATCTGCACTGGAAAAGAAAGAAAAAAAAGATGAAAATTGGTAAAATGAACAACACACAGTTGAATATTACAACAGTCGATCCCACCTGCTGACTGTTAATTACATGACAATATAACTTTGCTGCCACCAATCTAAACATATTGGTCTACGACCACACCATTCACTCTTCCTTGTCTCACTGACCACCGGAGTCAGTTCAGAGAGCCACTCAAAAATGGAGGAAAACTCTGACTTAAAGAGTGATGGCTGTCATCCAGGCAGACCCCCTTCTTATATTGAGGCACAGAAAGACACACTGAATATTTGTGGTGAAGTATAAACAGATTTGTGAAGTTTATTTGAACTCGAACAAGAAGGCTTCTCAATATTAGGAGAGGTTTGGATCCTTGGTGGTTTCAGAAGATTATCAAGCTGTTTCCTTAAGAGAAAATGGTTCATTCACTTGTCTTCCACAGAACTATGTTCACTCACAGGAGAACTAACTGGGCTTTTCGAAACCCCTCAGTCATCCCTTCCAGAGGCTCCTTATATAAGCACTCTGTCTGTTAGAGGCTCTCTAAAATAATGTAGCACTTCTCCCCAAAGGCAATTTTTACCCTGTGTATATATGTGGTTTTGCGCATGTGTTGTAATGTATTTTTACACATACTGTATATATATTATAATGCAGAAGGCATCATAGAGAAATAACCCATCCAAGGTTATCTTGGGCATTTTCCAAACAGGCCCTTTATCCCAGGATCTGATCCCAAGTTTTCTGGTTTAAACTGGACTATATGAGTTCGCACTGCCAGATAATCTGGGATAAACAGAAAATCTAGAATCAGATCCTGGGATAAAGGGCCTGTCTGGAAGGGACCTTGAATTAAGGAAAATTTAGTCTTATTAGAAACTCCGTTTAAAACCACTTTGGCCTCATGCATTCCTAGGTGATGAAAAATCAATTTGCATTGGTTGATCAAAAAGGATAAATTTCATTAATGGATTCTATTACATTGTCTGCATTTTTATTACATTGTCTGCATTTTTCTTAGGGTCCTTCCACACAGCCATATAACCCAGAATATCAAGGCAGAATAACCTACAATATCTGCTTTGTATTGGGTTATCTGAGTCCACACTGCCATATATCCCAGTTCAAAGCAGATAATGTGGGATGTTATTGAGTTGTGCATTCTTTGTTTTAAGAATGTAATGTGCAATTTCCAGCATCTAGCATTGCCTGGAACATCTAAGACATAATACTTACATTTCAAGAAAATGTTATTTTTGTATCGTATGAAAGAAATGTTTTGAATATTCATTTTGACAAGTTGGTAAAACAGACAAATTTAGGAGACACAGATCATCACTCTACCCTAACTGCCCAAATCATGATTAGTCTCCTGCTCTAATTAGACTCTTGAGTTCACTGCTTAGAAAACTCTGCCATGAGATCAATTTGTAAACTACTTACTTGTTATATAAAACTAAGTCTGGGCGCCAGATATCTTCTGATGGGATGCGGATTTGTTTCACACCCCCATAATCTTCTGGGTTCCATTTCAAATTTACATCCATCCATTGCTGGCAAAAGAAATATACAGCATTTAAAATCACTTGTGGCTGAATGTCATTCTAATGCAGAACACAGTTATTTTATCTGTTAAGAATAAGTGGAATGAATTAGACGGGAACTAATCAAAATTGATATTTCCATTCTGAGAATAAAATATCAAAATGTGCCCATAGACAACAATTCTTTACCTTAAAGGGCATGGAGTATATAAAAAACATCTTGCATTTTATGATTCCTTATTCTTCGAGGAGTAGATGCACATGCACTGCCTACCTTCCTTGCGTTTAGCATCCCAGTGCTGCAGTTTGGGAGGAAATAGCTCAATGAAACCATATCAAAGAACAATTTCCATTCCCTCTCAGACATAAACTGTCATGACCTGCATCAACTGGCAACTTGCACTGAGAAGAGTTTATGGGTCTCTTCACACTATATATATTCCAGTTTAACTGCCGTGGCAACATCCCTTGGAATCCTGGTATCTGCAGTTTAGAAAGGGGCATTTAGAAAGCCCAACTTGAAAGCCCAGGATCCCATAGGATTTTGCTATGGCAATTACAGTGGATTGTTGTAAGTTTTCGGGCTGTATGGCCATGTTCCAGAAGCATTCTCTCCTGACATTTTGTCTGCATCTATGGCTGGTATCCTCAGAGATCACAACCTCTGAGGATGCCTGCCATAGAAGTGGGTGAAACGTCAGGAGAGAATGCTTCTAGAGCACGGAAAACTTACAACAACCCAGTGATTCCAGGGATTTATTTTATTTATTTGTCGTGTCAGGGCAAACAGTCAATTATAGTACATTTCTAACAGAAACAAAACAAACTGACAAAATAAAAATTTGTGAGCTTGGTAGTTGATTAAATGTCCTTTGACCAGTATCTGGCCACTTGGAGTGCCTCTGGTGTTGCCGCAAGAAGGTCCTCCATCGTGCATGTAGCAGGGCTCAGGGTGCATTGCAGCAGGTGGTCAGTGGTTTGCTCTTCTCCACACTCGCATGTCGTGGATTCCACTTTGTAGCCCCATTTCTGAAGGTTGGCTCTGCATCTCGTGGTGCCAGAGCGCAGTCTGTTCAGTGCCTTTCAAGTCGCCCAGTCTTCTGTGTGCCCAGGAGGGAGTCTCATTTGGTATCAGCCATGGATTGAGGTTCTGGGTTTGAGCCTGCCACTTTTGGACTCTCGCTTGCTGAGGTGTTCCAGCGAGTGATCTCTGTAGATCTTAGAAAACTATTTCTTGATTTAAGTCGTTGATGTGCTGGCTGATACCCAAACAGGGGATGAGCTGGAGATGTCTCTGCCTTGGTCCTTTCACTATTCCAGGCATGAAAGCCTTCGACAATTACAGTGCTAAAGTGAATGTAGTTTGACAGCACTTAAACTGCCTTGGCTCAAAAACAGTTCTGGCCCAGCTTATCTATCCGAACGCATCTCTCCCTATGAACCCTCCAGGAACTTGAGATCATCTGAGGAGGCCCTGCTCTCGAACCCGCCTGTTTTACAGGCATGTCTGGCGGGGGCAAGAGACAGGGCGTTCTCTGTGGTGTCCCCTCGGCTGTGGAACTCCCTGCCTAGGGATATTAGATCCTCCAAAGAAAGAGCCTCCATGACACTCTGGGGCAGAGAGTTCCACTGCTGAACATTTTCAAAGGGTATTGGAGTAGAAGCTCAGTGGAATTAATTGCCTGGAAGCAGGAAAATCGCATTCAAAGCACCCCTGACAGATGGCAATCCAGCCTCTGTTTAAAAGCCTCCAAAGAAGGAGCCTCCACCACGCTCCGGGGCAGAGAGTTCCACTGCTGAACATTTTCAAAGGGTCTTTGAGTAGAAGCTCAGTGGAATTAGTTGCATGGTATACTTTTGGGCCATACAACCCAAGTAGCAGACATGTAGAAAATGTTGTCCAGATTTTACTCTTGACTACTATAAGTAGCAATTTTAGACATTTTATCATTCCTTATTATTGCAGATATGCTCACAAGTGACATGTATCTGATCAAAAGGGATCCCTAAGCAAGAATGCATTTATAAATATGATGACAAGAAATTACCTGTTTCAAGCGCACATTGGTTGTTACAATTTGGTTTACTTCATCCTTAAGATAAAAAAAATCAAGATTAAACGATGGTTTATATTCAACAAAAATGTGTTGTTGAAATGATGTAAACATAAGTACTCCTTGCTGTTCTTGCCTTCTACACAGCCTCCAATTTGTTGGCTTTCCATTTATCAGAATGTAAGTTTCACTGTACAGGAACCTGGCTGGTTTTATTCAGTAAATTAGTTTTAAAAGCTGCTCAAAT